ATTCTTTATATATTAGATAGATTAGATTAGATTAGATTGGAAGATCTGCAGTAGCCCGAAAATGTAGATAGCTAATGTGAATGCTGATGAACCGCTTCAGCTTGCAACATGTGTTGTTTCGCAGCAAAAATGATTTCGGGAGAACTGAAAATCTTGTCTGAAACCATTCAAAGCTACAAAATGCGGTTTGTAATATTACAACACACGCTTTCGTTTTTCTAACGTCTTCCGTTGCGTGATAGTCCTGAATTACGGATCTATACGAATGTATTAGAAAGAAGTTCGACGGAAATTTGCAATCTTAGCTAGTGCAGTTTCCGCCCACCACCTTCGGACTCACTAGTATTGTCCAGCCAAGCTCAATTGACGCTCAAGAAGTTGTTACCAAATCTTTCTGGCTGTTATCTATTTGTCTTGGGTTTTCCATAAAAACTGTGCGGTGTTGCAACAAGCAATGCTTGGGCGAGTAATAAATGTCTTGGTTGAGCAGTCTGTAAGATGGTGTCATTTCGTCATGTTTGCTTCGTCCACTTTTTAAGTCTACGATCACGTAGCTGTTGTATTCTTCCGTACTTCAGTTACCTGTGAGTTCTCTAGTCCCACCCTTATGTATTCTTGGAAAAGTTAGAAATAATATACAGCTTACTTGGCGAGCAGTATCGACATGCTTCAGTCATTTGCTTTTTCGATTTTTTTCGTGGAGAAACAGTCAGTAGATCTTCAGATGCTTCCTCGGAGTTGAACATACGTGTGAAAGATCGAGCGGGGGATGATGTTGTAACACCTGGCAAGAAAAGCCGTATGGGAAACATTTTTAAGGTTGGTCTTCTATATAAAGTGCTATGAATAATGTTCCCCTACCTATTTTTGACTTTTGATATTCAGGAAGCTCCCATTAAAGGATTCAAAGAGGGAGCTGCCGACGCTTTGAAACGTCCACTTACAGGTTTGAAAGTTATCTATTTGTTTTCTCTTCATACTCTGTTTCATTTTCATAAATTTATTTTCCGCACGGTGATTTTCTGTGCTTTTGTTAGAAGCAGACGCATGCAGCAGGCTTAAAATTATATATTTGTCAGCAGCAGACAACATTTATTGATTGATTCCATCACATGGTATTTATTAGCGAAATAGATGGATTTTAGCGAGATAAAAACAGTAATTCCGGTTATGCTTAACCTGCGATGCAGTCGATTCGCTCACCGTTTTCGTTTATATCAAGGCGTTTCGAAAAAATAACATTATTCAATGATGTTTGGTTGCTGACTTTGCTTTCATATATGGTATTTGCTATCATATTTCTCGAATTTCATTGCGTTTCAGGAATATTTCGTAGACCAGGATCTCGTTCTGGACGAAAGCGAGAAGATGTTGACTCAAGTACTTCCGGAGGTGGTCAAGGTAGCTTTTTTATTATTATTTTATTTTTGCGTCGTGACTCTTCATGTCGTTGAGCTTGGCTTTGATCCTTTGATGAGAAAAAAAGGACAAGGTGTTTTTGTTCCTAGCAAGAAATTGCTCTTAAAGTAGTTTTGATGCTTAATTTTTTTCCGCTATAGTCGAATTATTTTTCTGTTTGCGATGTGGATGTGTTCCTTGTTGGAATGG